GGGGGGGGGTCCCGGTTGCACCGGGAGAGGGAAGAGACGGGAGGTGACGGTCCTGGATGTCCCAAAATTCGGGATTTCCAGCCCTTCTGGGACCCAAAAAACCGGGATTTGCAGCCCGATTGTCCCGAGATTTGGGGTCTCGATCCCAAATTTTCCTCTTTTTCCCCCCCCAGAGCCGCCACCAGCGGCGGGAACGCGCCGTGGCGCGGGAGCGCGCGGAGCGGGAGTTCGGGAATGTCCCGCATTCCTTCGTGTTCCCGCGGGGCAGAGTCGGGAAGAGCCTCCGGGGGCTCGGGCAGGACCTCAGGAGGGTCATGGAGCCCTACACGGCCCGAGCGCTGCAGGTCGGGGGGTCCTGGGAGGGTTGGGGGGGCTTTTTAAATTTTTACTCTATTTTTATTTCATTTATTTATATTTATTTTATTTATTTATTTTTATTTTAATTTTCCTGGTTTTATTTTTATTTATATTCTTTTATCATTCTTATTATTTTTATTATTGCTATTTATATTTCTAATATTTTAATTTATTTTTATTATTCCTGTTCTTATATTTATTATTTTCCTTTATTTTTATTATTTTTATTTATATTTTATTTTTTATTTTCTTATTTTTCTTTTTTGTTATTTTTATTTTTAATTTTATTTTTGTTTTTATTTTACTTCTTATTTTCTTTTTTGTTATTTTTATTTTTAATCTTATTTTTATTTTTATTTTATTTTTATTTTAAAATTTATTTTTATTTTTTATTAATTTTGGTTTTATTTATTTTAAATACTTATCGTTTTTACTTTATTTCTTGGTACTTTTACTCATATTTTTAGTTTTTGATTTTTACTTTATTTTTTTAAATTATTTTTACTCTTTACTTTCACATTTTCTTATTTTCATTTTTAACCTATTCTTAATTATTACAACTCTGTGATTTTCAGTTCTATTTCTTATTTCCCTTTTCACTTCGTTTTTTTGTTCTATTTTCATTTTTATACGAATTTTTAATCCTAATTTAAATTGATTTTTATTTTTTATCGGTTTTACATTTATTTATTGTTATTTCTTTTGATTTTTGCTTTCCCAGGTCCGTAAGAGCAATTCCCTTCGGGATCTGGTGGCCGTGGCCGGACCTTTGGGGGTTTCCCATTTCCTGGTGCTCAGCAAGACCTCGACCAGCATCAACCTCGTGAGTGGGGACCCCCCCCCCCCAAAAAAATCTGGGGGGTCCTGAATCATTTTGGGGGGTCCTGGAACAGTTTAGGGGGTCCCAGAACATTTTGGGGGGTCCTGGATCATTTTAGGGGGTTCTGGCTCATTCTGGGGAGTCTTGGATCATTTTAGGGGGGTCTTGGATCATCTTGGGGGGGGTCTGGCCCAGTTTGGGGGGTCCAGGATCATTTAAGGGGAGTCTTGGATCATTTTGGGGGGTCCAGGATCATTTTTGGGGGGGTCTTGAATCGTCTTGGGAGGGTCCTGGTTCATTTTTGGGGGGTCTTGGCTCATTTTGGGCAGTCCCAGAACATTTTTGGGGGTCCTGATTCATTTTGGAGGGTCCAGGATCATTCTGGGGTGTCTTGGCTCACTTCGAGGGGTCCTGGCTCATCTTGGGGGGGTCCTGATTCATTTGGGGGGGGTCTTGGCACAGTTTTGGGGGGTCCTGGATCATTTTAGGGGGGTCTTGGATCATTTTGGGGGGGTCCAGGATCATCTTGGGAGGGTGGTGGTTCATTTTTGGAGGGTCCTGGCTCATTCTGGGGGGTCTTGACTCATTTCGGGGGGGTCCAGGATCATTTTGGGGGGGTCCAGGATCATTCTGGGGGGTCTAGGATTATTTTAGGGGGGTCCAGGATCATCTTGGGGTGGTCTTGGCACAGTTTTGTGGGGTCTTGAATCATCTTGGGAGGGTCCTGGCTCATTTTGGGGGGTCCAGGATCATTTTAGGGGCGTCTTGGATCATTTTGGGGGGGTTTGGGATCATTTCTGTGAGGTCCAGGATCATTTTAGGAGGGTCCAGGATCATCTTGGGGGGGTCCTGGCTCATTTTGGGGGCCCCCAGAGGTTCCCACCCCCCCCCCAGACTCAAATGATGACAGACTTTGGGCTGAATTGGGGCCGTTTTGGGGCCGTGATGCTCCAAAGTAAACGCTCTGATGGGTCTGGGGGGGGTCCCGGGGGGGTCTTGGGGGGTCCCAGGGATTGGGATTCCCAAAATTCCCTGGAATTGAAGCTTTTCCTCCCCCCCCCCCCAGAAGCTTTTCCGGCTCCCGGGGGGTCCCACCCTGACCTTCAAAGTGCTGCAGGTGGGTCTGGGGGGGTTTTTTGGGGGGGGTTGGGGTTTTTTTGGGGGGTTTTGGGGGGTCTTTGTACCCCTGACCCCCCCCCAGCATTCCCTGGTCCGGGACTGGGGGATTTGGGGGTCTGGGGGGGGTTTTGAGGTATTTTTGGGGTGGTTTTGAGGGTTTTTTAAGGGTTTTTTTTTGGGTGTTTTGGGGGTGTTTTTGGGGTGTTTCTGGGGAGGGGGTCAAGGGTTTTTCTGGTGGGATTTTGGGGGTTTTTAGGGGACATTTTTGGAGGGATTTTAGTGTTTTTTGGGGGGCAGTTTTGGGGTGTTTCTGGGTGGGTTTTTTAGGGGTGTTTTCGAGGTGTTTCTGGGCTGGTTTGGGGCTGGGTTTAGGGGTTTTTTTTAGGGTATTTTGGGGTGATTTTTCCCCCTTTTCCCCTTCCCAGTATTCCCTGATCCGGGACGTGGTCTCAGCTCTCCGGAGGCACCGGATGCACGAGCAGCAGTTCTCCCACCCCCCTCTCCTGGTGCTCAGCAACTTCGGGCTCCCCCAGATCCACGTCAAGCTCATGGCCGGGATGTTCCAGGGGATGTTCCCGGCCCTCAACGTCCACAGGGTCCGTGGGAATTCGGGAACGGGGAGGGGGAGGTCGGCTCTGGAATCTTCCCTGGTCCTTCTTCCCCTTCCTTTTCCCTTCTCTTCCCGATTTTCTTCTCTTTCATTTTCCTCTTTCTCTTTCCTTCCCTTTTCCTTCTTCTCCTTCCCTTTTTTCCCTTCCCTTTTTTTTCTTTCCTTTTTTTCCCTTCTCTTTTCCTCCTCTTCCCTTTCCCTTCTCTTCTTTCTTCCCTTTTCCTTCTCCTTCCCCTTTCCCTTTTTCTCTTTTCGTTTTCCTTCTCCCTTCCCTTTTCCTTCCCCTCCCCATTTCCATTCTTCCCTTCCCTTCCCATTCTTTTCTTTCCCTTCCCTTCTATCCCTCTCCCATTCCCATTATCCCATTATCCCATTCCCATGATCCCATTATCCCATTATCCCTCTCCAGGTCAATCTCAACTCCATCCGTCGCTGTTTGCTCCTCACCTTCGACTCGGAGTCGCAGCTCCTGGAATTCCGGCACTAGTGAGTCCCTTTCCCATTATCCCATCCCTGTTATCCCAATCCCATTATCCCATCCCCGTTATCCCAATCCCATTGTCCCACTCCCGTTCCCAGCAGTGTGAAGGTTGTTCCCGTGGGGGTCAGTCGGGGGCTCCGGAAGCTTCTCCAGGAGAAATTCCCCAACCTCAGTCGGCTCCAGGACGTCAGCGACCTGCTCCTGGGGTCAGGGGGGGCATTGGGGG